CCAGTTGCCAGGAGTTGAGCAGCTTCATCCACCATGTGCTCCTGTCATGGAATTCTTCCTCACCACAGGCCCCCAAATGATGGCACACCCCTGACCATGGACCGAACCTCCAAAGCTGTAGGCCAAAGTAAACTTTTCCTCCTTTTTATCTCAGGTGTTTTATCACAGTAATGGCAAGCTGACTAACACTCATGGACATTACTAAATCCAAGTTTTAAAAAAAACATCTACTGTATCTTCCCCAAAACTTCATGAAGCCAGGTTTCAGGAATCAAGATTGGACGTGAGGTTAGGTTTTAGAGCATGGTTGTATCAGGATGAATGGGTAAGGTCATGAAAGCTAGGATTCTAACTAAATCAATCTGAAGAAAATGGCTCTGAATTTCCTCCAAATTTTTGTTTGTTTGTTTCGTACCTGGAATTAAACTCAGGACCTCACACTTGCCAGGGAGATGCCACACAGATGAGCTATATCCCCAGCTCCTCAAATCTTTCTTTGATCAAAGAATTATTTATTCAGCAAAACTAATGAAAAGCTACAATTAAGAAAAACATAGCTGGGAAACCCTGCCATTCCATGGTCTAGGTAAGACTCTCAGTTGGGAAAACCATTGCCTGAACATGTGCTTATGGAAAGATATTAGGTGCAGGGATATATCTCAGTGGCACAGCACCTGTCTGGCAAACATGAGGTCATGGGTTAAATTCCTGGCACAAAAAAAAGAAAGAAAAAGAGAGAGAGAGAGAGAGAGAGAGAGAGAGAGAGAGAGAGAGAAGAAAGATACTTGTATGTTGTCTTCCAATTTCTCACTGAAAAAGCCAGAAGATACAAACAATGAAAGAACAAACAATAGCAATCTAAAATAATAATAATAGGGCCAGAGATTTAGCTCAGTGGCTTAAGTGCCTGCTTGGCAAGCATGAGGTCGAGTTTGGTCCACGGTACCAAATAAGTAAGTAAATAAATAAATAATGACCAGAATAATTCACTTTAACAAAATCCAAATGGAATTTCCACAGATTTTAATGCTGAAGACAAACAAAAGAAAATGTATTCTCTGACCATTAATGATCCAGCCTCTCAGTTAGGGGAGCCCTTCTACCTCAGAGTAGATGGTCTCAAAAAAGGTAGTAGTATAGTGTCCTCAGCTGGCTCCTCTCTCTGTTGGTCTCTTCCTAACTCCTTGGCCTGTAAGGGTTATTTCTCCAATAAAAACCTACCTTCTGTACCCCAAAGCAGGGGCTCCAGGTCTTAACCTATGTGGGGATGTGGTTCACTATGCTGATAGCTAAGTGCCCCTCAGGGTGGGTCTTGTAAACCAGGCATGGGGCAATGTGCTCAGGACTTTAAAGGGTCTCAGTTACCTGACTCATACCAGGGATGGCTGGAGACGGCCTTTACTCTCCAGCACTGAAAGGAACCAGCAGGCAGGGGAAGGGTGGGGCTCCAGTGCTGGTCCAGGAGACCTTGGGGATAACCCCTGCTGGGTTCTGAGAAGGGAATGGGTAGATGTGAAAACCTACTGTCAGGGTACAGACCTGATGGAGAAGCCTTAAAGTTCATGGTGAACTGCTGGTGGGCTGAGACCAGTTTTCTTAGTCACTTTCTTTGTCACTTAGACACTCCCACAACTTGAGGAGAGGTTGATGAAGCTCATGTTTTCAGTCTATAGTCAGCTGGCTTCAAAGCAAGATCAGCATGGGGGAAGGATCCCAGGTGGAGGAGAGCTGCCCCCCACCATGGTAGCCCGGAAGCACAGAGCGTGGCTGCTGTAGGTACCTTTGGCTACATGTCAGCATGGTGAGGGTAGAGCCTGTACACTTCAGGTAGTATTATAATTGGTGCTAGAGTAACTGTGAGCTCTTAGTGACAGAGCTTCCATTTTAGTTATCCCCTATAGCTCATTCACATTATTGTTCCTAATTTATGATTAAGTATACAAAATAAATGAGAGTTTCAAAATGGTAGAAATAGATGACAAACCTCTTCTGAAAAATAAGAGATCTCAACAGTTGCCATTTAGACAAAGAGAAAGCTAAAGGAGAAAGAAAAGATAAGGAAAAAAAACTAATATTATTGAGAATTTACCAGGTTTAAAAAATTCAAGTACTGATTATGCCAAAGGAGCATTTGAAATCCCATTCCTCCTTTTCAAAGAATTACAGTTTTAGTGTATTGCACAAATAAAGTGACTCTTAAACATGACACAATGGCCACTGACAGCTACTCTTTGTAGAAGATCTGTGCAGCATTGGTAATATTCAGCTTGAAAGTGAACACTCAAAGTCTACTAACACACTGGAGCGACTTAATGGCATTTCTCCTTAAAACAGTGTGCCTAGGTTCTTAGAATAGATCACAAAGGCTGTTGCATAGCCCAGAAGGTAGGCAAATTATACCAACATCTAAGATGATTTGCAAATTATAATATGGGTTGGGTTCCATCTCATCACCATACATCCAGATGGTCAGTTAGCAGATATATTTTTCCTGCCTGCCTTGTGTGTACTGGGAACCAACCAGACCAATACAAAAGAAACTATCAAACAAGAAGGGTGATGATAGCCTAATTATTATAAAACTGAAATGCACACTAAAATACCATTTTCCAGGTAAAGCATGGTCCCTCTGCCACAGGATTGTGCCAACTGTCACAGTGTGGCAGTGGACACCAAAGACCACTGTCCCTGACATCACAGGGACTTTAGGATCAGACCTTCATGTGCTTGGCAATGAAAAAGAGAAATACCAAATTGCTTGCAGGATGGACACAAAATGTCAACCTGAGTGTTCACTGATGTAAACGAGAAATCATCAAGAAGAACATAAGGACAAGAACAATATATCAGACGCCTAGGGCAGGAGATGGGAGAGACACAGAGGGCCATGCTTGCTTTATGGTTGCCATCTCTCCCTACAGTGGCCACATAGATGGGTACATGGTGTCTGTTACTTCATCTCCTGGGTGGAACTGGAGATGTTTGAGGTTTTAGTACCAGCAACAGTAGCACACACAGAGTGATAGAGATGAAGTCAGAGACAGAGTGGAATCCATACAATCTCCTAAACTTTTATGTCAAATAATATGACCAAAGCACCTTGTTTCCACCTTTCAGATATAAGTTAGCCCTTGTTTCTGGTGATGGAAAGCGTATGTTTGCTGATTCTTAGTCCAGTATTGGAAGCCTCACTTTCCGTCTGCTCCAAGATTGTTTTCTGGGGAGTTGGTGTTTTACTTTATTTCACGCCAGACCTCACTGGTGACATCAGTCACACTCCACAGTGCTTTAAGAATCACGAAAACATCTGGAGCCTCTGGTAGGCTAAGTTAGAGAGGCTAGAAACTTTAGGGAGCTTTCTTTAAATGACAAGTGAATTTCATGGCTTTTCCACACTCACTCATGTTAGCATACCGGCACCGGTGAAAACGAGGCTTTCTCCTCCTCTCCTGTCCCAGCTTTCAGCCAAACTGCCAGTCCTGTCAGTGGAGACCCCTGCCATGATGAAGGCTTTTCTGGATTGGCCTCCTTCCACTGCCTGGCTCCTTCTTTCTTTGTGTAGTGTATATTTAATGCCTTCCTGATTGTCCATTCAGCTTTGGTTTTCTCTCTCTCTCTCTCTCTCTCTCTCTCTCTCTCTCTCTTTCTTACTCTCTCTCACTCTCTATGTGGCCAAAAGAATCTTACATTCCAGCCTTAATGGTTGACTAACACGTGCCAGGACCCTCTTGACTTTGGGAGGTATCCTCTTTGGGGGGACCATTTGCATACATGGGCATGGAAGGATGCTTTGAATGCTGAAGATACTTCTGCAGATTCTACACCTAAACTCCAGTCCCACCCCAGAGATAAAGTGACATACACCATGTTCCCATCTATGTGGCCATTGTAGGGAGAGACGGCAACCATAAAGCAATCATGGCCCCCTCTGTGTCTCTCCCATCTCCTCCGTTACGTGTTCCTTTGTAGTAAACTCAGCCCAGGGTCCAGTCCTGCTGGGCCCCTAACGATAGAGGCAGCCAAGATTCAGGATCTGACGTTTGTCTGCTCAATTTACTGCTTGTTTTCAAGGCTCCATCTGCACATATTCCAGACCGTGCCGTACTAATTTGTGAAATGGCAAAATGGTGTTTTTTACTCAGTATCTTTTCTGAATCATTCATATTGCATTTCTTTTTTTTTTCTTTTCTTTCACTAACGTCAAAGATCTTTCTCTTATACTTCTTGCATGACCAAGTCTTCACTGGTTTTCATTTGGCCTCCCCAGTTGGTCATTTTTCATTTATGTGAAAAAGAAAGGAACATGGTTTCCAGTAGATTTCAGCTAGCTTCATCTGGTGCATTGAGGATTAAATAAGAAGCACTTTACAGTTTAAGACTACACTGTATTTAGGAAGAGATGGCATCTATTACAGTAAGACAGAGCAGAACAACAAAGTAGAAAACAGAACCTGTGACTTAAATCCTGGATTGACACCCGGTTAACTGTGTGATTCAAGGCACCTGACTTGGGCCCTTTGGGTATAGTGTCCTTATTTAGGAAAAGAAAAGAGAACTGGTCATTTCTAGGCCTGCCATTTCATACTTCTATGACTTAGATAGAAGCAGTAAATCTTACTCTATTATTTATAAGCCTCAAAATGAAAACATAAGCAAATATAAATATTTCAAGTCAAGGAACTAAAAAATGAATTCTAGAGTAATACTTCCTGCTGTTAAGTCCTTTGCTATTAGAAACATTTGGCTGTCTAGGGAAGTACTGGTGCTTGGTATTTTCCTAACACACAAGTGGCACATTCTCTGCCAAGGTGTGTTCCTCTGCACTATTCTGAAATGTATCTTTCTGTCTACTCAACCCATCAACCCATGTATCTCAGCATGTGCACATGTTACATGCATTCAAGTGCACACACATAAAAGTGCACACACACAGAGAGAATGCAGAACAGGAAAGAGGCATCAGAGCCAGGTCTGATTAAAGAGAAAGAAGCAAGACTTACAGGAGCCGCTGAGTTTTTGACAGTGACACTGGGGGTGGTGGCTCGCAGGGCTCCGCTCACTCCATGGTAGTATTTGAAGCAGATCTTAGTTTCAGCTGAAAGACAGAAGCGAAACAAGACTCAGAAGTAGGGCATAGCCCCTGCCATGGCAGAGAAGACATCTGGGGGACAGCAGCCTATCCCTTCCCCAGCCAGCCAGGCCACACTCGACAGTGCTGGGCTCCATGTGGCCTCATGAGTGGGTCTGACTTCTTTCTAAAAATATGTTATGCAAAACTGCTTTGGCCTTAACCTTTTCATTAGAACTCATTGATTCTCACTTGAAATCTAAAAGCTTCAGGTAGTTGGATGCCTAAAGTCACCCTTGTATAATTTCCTATTATTTAAATCATTGCAATTAATATCTTGGAAATTTTAAGGCAGTTATTGGTATATGGGTGGGCCATTAATGACATGTTAATGAACGACTTCTTAGCATCACAATCTGTTTCTCTTCCAGTTTCTCTGGATGGTAGACAGAAAAGTTATAGCTTGGCCTGTGTTTGGATTTTAGCTCTACTATTCACAACCTGTGGGATAGTGACTCAGTCACTTACACTCTCCGTACCGTATGTTCCTTATATGCAAAATAGAAGCAACAGTGATATACACATTCTAGGAGGGTAAAAGCAAATAAAAACAGAGTTCAGTAAAGCAGTCAGATATGTGGGTGATGGTGACAACAGGGTGATTGAACTTTGATGTGACCCATTGCATTTTGACATCTAGTTTTAAAGAGGAGAACATCAGCAGGCAACCTAAATTTAGGTCGTTCAGTGGTGACCTGATTTTCCCAGTTCACAGTTGATAAGATTGGTTTCCTAAAATCTGAACAATTTACCAGGCTGTGTCTCAGCTCCTTCTATTCATTTTGTTGGGAACAACCTGGGGAATCTCCAATTTGCAATCTTATTTATCAATAAGGGAAATAGTCAATTATCACATTTAAGAAAATGATGTTTGCAACTTTGTTAGCATTTGTTAAAGAGTACTCACTGTGGGAAATATGGAAAAAGAAGAAAAGTGTAAAAACCTCTGTAAAGATTTTTTTTGGCATACCTGAGAGTATAAACTCCATGTATTAATGCATTTTTAATTTTTACATTTATTTCTTGAGTATAGGGAGCTATTATTTTAGATTTTGTAGATAATATTCCTTGCTCTGGGAAACAATTAAATAGAATTTTAATTTGTGAATATTACCCTATTTTTGAAAATTTGGTCCTTTCTCTAAAAAGGAATGACATTTTACACATGATTTGAAAATTTGGTCCTTTCTCTAAAAAAGGAATGACATTTTACACATGATTTGAAAATTTTAAATATGTTTTCTTGGACAATAGAGCAAAAAATTGCTACCATCTTTCCCTGAAAATAAGACCTAGCCAGAAAATCACCAGCCTTGGAAACTAGAGATCAAAAATACCAGCCCAGTCAGCCTGTCCTTGCCTCACCTGCCATCACTCTTCCCTTGCTTGGCATCTGCTTTGTAAAGTGGGTGGGGTAAGGATAGGCTCCTTGAGGCTGGTATTATTTTGTAAGAGACTGAACTTACAACCTGGCACTTACCAGGCAAGGCCTTGAGCCACTGTGCTAAATCCCTGGCCCAGGGGCTGGTATTTTTGTCCTCTAGTTTTCAATGATGATTATTTTCCAGCTAGCTAATTACCTATCCAAAATCCTTTCTCCTTTTCCTCCTTAGTAACAGAATTTTGTTTTGGGTTATAATGTCCAACTTAATCCTGTGCTTTGCCGATAACATCTGTGTTGTTTGTCATTGCTACTTGGGGATTTCCATCCTATGTGGTTAAACCTAAAGCTGATACAGAAAGATTCCTTGATGCAGAAGATATAAATATTGCAATATTCTTCCTTGGGAATTCGCTCTTCCTGTGCTCAAGCTGCTTTCCACACAGCACTTTATATGTCCACCAGCATATAACATCAAGATCATAATGACCATTTCTACCCTTGTAACCACTAAGCATTATCAATTAAAAATCAGCTGAAAATAGAATCTCATTATCATTTTCATTTCATTTATTTGATGACTAGCGAGATTAAATGTTTTTCCATCCAATTTTAATTAGCTATTTGAATATTTTAAACCCTTTAAGTTAAGTGTCAGAATGATGCCTGGGTGCTCCCCGCTCCCTTTTAGTGGATGTGGTGTTATTTTAGATGTGTCAATATTCTTTTCATTTCCTTCCTGAGTCACGCTTTCCCCACAGTTATTTTGCATATCTTGATTGTCTTTCCAGGCTCTTGGTGGACAATCTAATAACCTCACTCCCTACATATTCTCCAAGACTCCTTCCAGCTGTCCTCATATTAGGTCCACACACTCAGATCCAACAGTCTCAGCAGAAAGCCAGGTTTCTTACAGTTCGTGGATGTATCCTGCATAACACAGTGGGTGATACAGCTATCTAATCACAAGGAGTTGGCGCTTTTGGTGCATGAACTACTCTGTTTATAGACCCCCAGGAGATCAGCTTGCAAGAGCCAGAAGGTCTCACTTTAAGGTGACCCAGGTGGAAGAAGCATTGAGATAAAAGGCACCTGGGGCTGCTTTTCATTCAATAAAGAAAATTATGTCAATGCCTTAGAGCTAAAAAGGTCAGGGAAATCACACAAATCCTTGTATTAAATCCTATTGCCAAGTAAGCAGATTATTTACTATTTTCAGCCAAGAATTCATGGAATCCCTCAAAGTGTGGTATTCCCCTTTTAAGGAGCTGTTAACAAAGACTATTTTTGTTTTTGCTTAAGCAAGTATTTTAGTAATCAATTAAAAAATGTTTTCCCAAAAATAAGACCTATCTGGAAAATAATCGACCCTGAAAGCTAGAGATCAAAAATACCAGCCCCGCCAGTTGGACAAAAATCGAATCAAATTCTGTGTTGCAATTATGGGGAAATTTGACTCAGTTGTCATCCAGTTTGGTTTGCTACCAGAATCATCAAGGAGAATTGAGTTCCTAAACTGAAGTACAACTGTATTGTCTAGTGATGTAAGCATTGTAGATTAACCCAAGAGGAGATTCCATGTCCCAGGAGATCCTAATTCTTCATGGAGAACACATACTTCCTAAGTCTAATACTGGATGATTTTGGGAACTGTTCGAGTGCAAATGAAGGGGTTTCAACAGTTAAAAATTATTGCTCTCTCTGGAAAAGTATCAACACTTGAAGGCTAAAAAATGTTCATTAATTTTTGGTCACCATTTTAGACACTTTGTGTAAGAAAACCTTCACTAGTTTTGCCTTTCTCTATTTTTCTAGGTATAATAATAATAACTTAAAAGTTCTTCACAGTACAAGGCATCTTCAGAACACATGGTGTCTATGCCTCACTGTTTAGGTGGAGTGTTTATGTGTGCAGCAACAGAAGTCTAGGAAGGCAAAGTGATCCGCGGGAAGAAGAGGAGTGTGAGACAGAGTAAGTGGGAGTTCAATTCTTGACTCAGCTCTCATTGTTCTTGTAAGTTATAGGATTCTGAGTCTTAGCCTCAGTGCAGAATGTTAATGTTACTGCCCGCTTTGTAGATGTTGTTCATTGTTCGTTGTTTTAGTTACTTTTTTCTCATTGCTGAGACAAAATGCCCAAAACTTAAATTTAACAGGGGAAAGTTTTATTTAACTCACAGTTTGCAGTTGCTTCAGTCCATAATCAGCTAGCTCTAAAGCAGAGTGGCTTATGGCAGAGGGGCAACAGTGCATTGCAGTAAAGACAAGACTCGTTCTGTCCTTATATGGTATCCAGTCTTTGGGAATTAGGGCAGTGCCAACCCAGTCTGTGGACTGATTCAGCAATCATCCATCCTTAATCCCAGAATTGCATTAGGAATCATGTTCTAGATTCAGCCACCTCTGAAAAAATCTTATGACTGCATGAGGCTTTGGGGGGAAATCTAGACACAAACCATAACAGTCACATAAAACAAGTAGATTCATGTGTAAGGCATACTAAATATGAAGTTAACAGATGAGTTGCCTTTTTATGTCAGTAGGGATTATTTGGACAACTGCTCACGGATGTCTAACATAAAGCATCCAAACAAAAAAAATATGGGGAGTTGAAATCCAGCCCATTCTCCACTTACTGGAGAGTGTAGTTCTTGCCCTTCCAGAGAAAGAGACTGACATCTTAATTAACTCTGTATGTATAGCGGTAGCCTTAAAATTGATCTCTTTTTAAATATTTTGATTATTTTTGCCAGGTACAGGATTTATCTTTAAATTTGACCTGGGGAGATCAGTTTATTAATAAAGTGTAGTGAAACTAAAGTTTCTACTGCTATAAAAATGAATTCTGTAACTTTTTTATTTTGGAGAATGTGTTAAGAAAGTACAGATTGGTTCACTTCAGTTTTAGTATTAAAGAAACAAGAAAACTGATTTTTTCCTTACTATGCTTTTGAGGAATCAGTAGACCTGCTAAAGACTTCAGACTCAGTATTTGATAAATAGTAGATCTGGAGTAAGCAAAATGTTCAATTAACCTTAAAAGTTATGGAAGAAGTTTACCTTAATGAACTAGCACTTAGTATATACTTAACCACTCATACTAATTTCTCATTTGATCCTCATAAGAATCTTATGAAGTAAAAGCAATTATTATTAGTCTTTCTTTTTTATGCATTTGGTGCAATAGTTGACAAAGATTCAGGCTTCAATAAATGTTACCCATCAGTCCTATTTTACATTTAAGGAAAATGAGGCCCAGATTTAAAGCCTTGATATTAAAGGTCACATATGTGGTTCGAGGCAGAGTTGTAATTTAAGTAAATGTATTAACTCTTCATTTAATGCATTGTCTCTAAGAAATTTTTAATAAACCAAGTTTATAGGTCAGCTAGCAAAAGTAAACTTCTTTCTCCAGTCATAATGTACCAGGTAATTTAAAGAATATCTAGAAGAGCCGGAAAAGTATAGAAATAAATCTGCTTAAAGTAGGGTTGCCACATAAGCTGCCTTTTTCATAGGGCTTTTTTCATAAGGATGATTTTACAGTACAGTTAAAATTGAATTTCAAATAAATAAAGAATAAATG